TGTGGGAAACCTGCTGTTGACACATCAGACCTGCACATGTACCATCTTATTATCCTTCATGGGCATGCCTGTGTAGGGGAATATGGGCTTGTGTGGCAAATGACATACTGCAGATGAAGGGGACTGAGAGCGTATTTTTTCCCTTGGGGATGCTGAATAAATTATATTGTAAGCCTGTGTTTTGACTGCAACCCATCACATAAAGTCAGGTGTGGAATTTGCCACTGTGGCATCATGTCAGTCCTCCAAAAGTTCCAGACTTTGGAGCATTTAGGATTTTTCGACTAGGGATGCTCAACCTGTAGACTTTTCTGAAAATGCAAATAAGGAATCCACGTTAAGTCAATAATGTATTGCTATAAACCTGTATTTTGTGCTTGTATGCTCATCAAAAATGTATTTTATTATGTGAAATAATCAATTATAACTACCAATAAACATTTAACCATATCAAAATGAAGTGGGGAAAACATTCTTACATTGCAAGAACCTAATAAATGTCAGATGTTTTAATAATAAGGCTGTTTCCACACTGAATAAAAAGAAATAACTATGTCAAAATGCTGTTACAGTAAATGAGAAATGCACAAAGAACACAGGTCAAATACATGAAGCATACACAAAGTACTCAATAGGCAGTAGTTACTATTATCACTACAAAACAGAACTAATGGTAATGAGGTCAATAAAGAGGAGGGTGGCAACACTACTACTCATTAGGTGGCTCAATACACTCATACAGTCATCCTGAGTCCTTCCTCTTTCTCATCTTCCTAAACAATTATTTACCAAGTTCTATAAATTCTACATCCTCAAAAGCTTAAAAGCTACCCCACTTTTTTCATCCTCACTGCCCTGCCTTACATAATTCCTCATGCATGTTCCCCAAGACCAATGCCACAGCCTGTCAGTTGCCCTGACTCCAGTATTGCCCCATTTCAACTCATTCTTCATTCTCCAAGCTGAGTTTGTTTCTTTGGTTTTTTGAAAAACAGAAATTTGATCAAGTCACTCCCCTCTTTAACATACAAAATCATCCCCACGACCTTCAGATAATTTTCAAATTCCTAATTATAGATGTAAAGTTTTTCAGGATTTGGCTCCTGTCCACCTCCCCTATTTCATCTTTTTGCACTTGCTTACTTTGCAATCTAAGCTAAGCTCCACAACTCTGCTCTACTTGTGGTTTCCCATAATGCCAAGCTGTGTCACCTCTGCCTTACTGTGAGCCCAGAACAACTCCTTCTTCCCTTCCTTATTCCTATCTCAACACTTAATACATCTCTATAATTCAAATTCCATGCCACCTCCTCCATTCCCTGATATTCTATCCCATCCCGCTCCCATTTTTTTTCTCCCAGGCTGGATGAACTTTATGATTAGTATTGTAAATGTAATGCTAACATTTAAAACCCATGTAGCTTACCATTCAATGCTAAAAGCTAGAACTGAGGATATGAGCAAAAAAGGCCACATCTAACACAAGAATTTATGATTCTATAATTTCAGCTTTTGGTCAAGAATAAATAGTGAAAGCAGAACTTTTTTAAAAAGATGAAAAAATTTTAAATGTTAAATTTTCAGTTCTTGGTAATTCAGCCATTTTTAAAACTGAAATCATGGGGTTTTTCTCCTAGGTTTTAGAACAAATCACTGACAGATACAAAATTAAATTTAAAAGAGCATTATATCTTAAATGTGGAACTAATTTATATTCTGCCTACATTACTTGTATTTATTTAACATATTGCTTTTTAAACAAAAGTTGTTTTGATCTGCTTGGTTTCACTATATATACTAAAGCCTTTTTTAATAAAACTTAGAAATAAATGACTCCCCCATGTGGAGATCAGCTTACATAGACCCTCTCTTAACATGTCATTTAAGTTTCAATATGCTTAAAATCACAAAGTTGAACTCTAAACATGACAATTACAATTCTATACCTATAAAGATAAGTATGTAAAAGGCTGGCTATAAAGTAACAGAAAGTTCACAACAAAATGTATAAGTTAAAAAAAAATATTTCTAAGAAATAGAGTATAATGTTTTAAATTAACATTCTATAAATTGAATACTTCAACAGCTTTAAGGCAAGTGATCAATTTAAAATGTGATACCTTTATAAAATTTTTTTTAAGTTTTATATGAATCCAGTTGCTTATTAAATAAGTATTAAATGTTTAAACATCAATAATTTGATATACAATTACTGCACCTGACTCTTATTGGTAATATTAGAAGGTGAAGAGGGTCAATTTATGGTTATATCAAAAAATGAAAGCTGAGAATTGTTAATATATTTATAAGATCCTGATATTATCAATCATAATCATTTAAAAAAAAGTTAGCCTGTAATCAACCAAGCAATTAGCTAAATAAAAATGCATTAAGCTTAGAAACAAAAGTTTCAAGTTCTTTAATAGTACAATAGTCTTCTAGTCTCAGATGAGACTCACAGTGAAGGGCATATACTCAATGTGAGCATATTCTTATTTTTTATTATTCATTATTTTCTTTCTAGATTTCAATAAAAGACACAAATGCAAAAAAACTAGTAAGTATTTTAAAAATCTAAACAAAAATCATGTCATAGCAAGAGGGGGGGCTGTTAGGAAATAGAGGTATAAATATAGCTATATATTATACAAGTGTTAATGGATCCTTCCACACTGACATATAAAATATATCTGAGAGGAGTGACAAATCTATTCACCAGATACAGCATTCACACATAAGAATCATGACACAGTTCTCTCACCAAAAGCAATCATTTGCTTAATAAAGATTCTATGACTTCATTACCCTTAACTGAGGGTAGGTCTCCAGTGTAAAATAAAATAATAAATGCACTACAAGGAGGACAATCTAACAATTAAAAGTTTAAAAACATTTCATCCACTGGCAAGTTCATATAGATTTAAAAATTAATTTATGCATTTTACTATTTTAACCTAGTCTACAGCTTAACATACTCATTAAAGATCAAGTAAGTTCCTCCTTGACATAATTAATTTTGCATGTAGTATGAAGAATATTAGACTTGAAATTAGATAACTTGGGTTTTGGCCCCAGCTCGCCATTAAGTTTTTCACTTCAGTGTCCTCATGTAAAATGAGAGGGTAGAATAAAAAATTTCTAAGTATAAATGTGTAAAAACTTAGTTCCTGATTTTATTTCCAATAATCAAACTTTTCATTTTGTATACATATAGTATCTATTAAGTTTCAAAAAGTAAAATTGTGTAGCTTAATAGAGGTTTCTAATTCTCTTTATGTATATGAAACAAAGAGCCTATTTTTATAGAATACTATCCAATAACAACTAACTTTTGTGCTTTGTTTTTGTTTTACAAATGCTAATAACAATTAATTCTGTGTAGGAGGTATTATTATCCCAATTCTACAGAATAGAAAACCGAGTTCAAAGAGTTGTTAAAACAATGGCTCTTTTTAAAATAATTCATATTTTACTAAAATCTGTAGTCTACAAAATGGTCCAATGGACATTGTTTCTTATATTAACAGTTGATTCTGAAGGTACCTTGGAATTATAATCCACTAAAGGAAAGGAAAAAGGTTTTAGTCTTGGTTAACCAGAAGTTGCTACTCAAAAGCAACATTAGAATTCATACCAGATTTTCTGAATCCAAATATCCTACATATCAAAACATAAAACTGTATTATATATTAAAGTCACACTATGACTTTTAACAGTGAAATTTAAAACACATGGCAAGATCTAAAAATAGCATGTACAAACACGGGAGATGTAACAGTAAATGAAAGTAATTAAGTTATAAAGTTTTAAAAAAATAATCAAAAGGTCCGACAGATTTACTGGATCCTAAAAGCATGTACAAAGCCTAAACATTAGCATCTCTTCTTTTCTGTATTAGAACTCTTTCATGTCACGCTTTCAAAGCATGAAATAGCAATTTTCACTAACATTACCTTGATTTAAGCTTATATTTCTAATCAAATTTTTCAAAATGCAGATGCCCAATTTACACAATCAACTGAACTATGCTTTAGACTTTTTCAGGAACTGCCTCAGGATAGCTAGCACAATACTGAAATGATCTTTTCTAACCAAAGTCGGATTTTTGATGGTCTTGTTAATTTAAATATTTTATGTGTTATAAAACTACAACAGTAAAGGTTTTTCTAGCAAATGCCAGAAGAACTTAAGAGTAATGAGCAAACTATTAGAGCCAAGTTACAAACAATGGCTAAGGTAAAAACTTGAATACTCACTTTGTTATTTTGTGTCACAAGAATACTTCCACCTCCAGGTTTCAAAGGCACCTCTTCCATTGCTCCAAACACATCAGTCTCAACAGAAAAAGTTAGTTCTAGACCTAGATCACTAATGTCATTATCTAAAATCCATTGCAAATTTTTGGCATATTCTGGATCAATGGATGCCACATCTTGGTAATTTACAGGAATACCTAAAAAATGCAAACACACAGCCAGTTATAGTTTAAATGTTTCTGTCTTTCCTTATCTGTTTAACGGTAAAATACTGCCCTCTACAGATACTCTGAAAAACTGCAAAATATAATTCAATTCACAGCATGGATTCCTGAATTTGGAAGTCTGTTGAATTAGCCTGTGTTTCTTTCACATTTTTACAATGTAATCTTTCTTTAATAAAGCTATTCAGGAAGTCATTGTAAACTTCAAAAGTACCAATTATCTTAAGTATATTCATATTAAAATGTATTCTTAGCATAAACATACATACATTAAAATGAAAAAAACTTCTGGCAAATACTATTTTAAAAAAAGTCATTTTTCTCCCTCTCAAGTCCCCAAAATGCCTTACACACACAAATGGTCTTCAATCAAAATAAAAATTATCTCATCCGAAATGCTAACGCTTATCTCCTTAGTTTTCCCTAAAAACTGTAAAATAAATAATGTAAATAAATATCTGTAGAAATAATAATAGAGCCATACCAAGAATGTGCTTGTAGAATGACCGAGTGAAGTAAATATTGACCAGCTGTCTATGGTTCAAAGCTAATCCCAAAATCTGCCCAGCAAACCGAAAATAGTTCAAGTGATCAGGATTTACATAGGAGTTGCTATTAGGCTGAAAAGTTGTTCCTATTGAAATAAATAATTTATT